TAATCCTTAAGGTATTAAAAAGTAGTTTAAAATATATTAAGGTATATAGACCTTATTTAAAAGCTTATAATAGCTTATAATAATAGGAGAGCTAAGCTATTAGTAAAAAATAGTAAATATATTATAAAACTCTTACTTACCTTTTCTTACTTACTTATTATAATAGCCTTAAATAACCTTATAGTTCTTAAGGCTTTTAATATATTTATAATTTAAGTTTAATATAAAAGTCTTTAAATTAAAGCTTTTAAATAGCTTTACTTATTCTTTATAAAATATTATAATAAGATAGTCTTATTAGTTATTAAAATATATCTAAATATACTATAATATATTAGTAATATCTTTATAATAATAAAGTAATAATATACTAAATCTATACTATTTTTATAGTATAAGAACTATTTAAGATATATAGCTAGCCTTCTAGACTTAAGTAGGTAATATATTAGGTAGTTCTTCTTAAGAAGATATCCTAACTAGCTTATATTTACTAGGCTTAGGTAGATATTTAAAAAAGATAACTTATTTAACTCTCTTAAAAGATTATTAAGCTAAGAAGATTAAATCTATTTATCTATAGAATATTAGTATAAACTTAATATTATATAGTTAATAACTTACTTAAATACTATAGTATTAAGTTATTATATAGTAAAGTAGTTATTAATAGCTTTTTAATCTTACTAGGGATTTTAGTTAGTAGTAATAGTAAATAGCTATAAGTACCTAAAGAGATAATAGCTATATAAGGTATTACTAATTCTATAGGAATAATAATATAATATATAATACTATACTCTTTTTAAACTAAACTAGCTTAACCTTTAGGAATATATATAGTATCTATAAGGAATTAGTAATTAATATATATAAAGTTAAATATATATTATAAATACTATAAGTTATTTTCTATCTTATTAAATAGTTAATATAAGTATAGGTAGACTCTAACTATCTACTTATAGACTTAAAGTTCTCTATAAGTAATTTTATATTACTTATAAAGTCCTTATAGCTACTTAGTATAGTAAAGGTCTAGTACTAATTCTAATATTACTAATAATAATATTAAATATAGTATATAATATTTCTAAAAATTATCTACTAAATTAGTAAGTAATATATAATATATTAGGTATAAATAGTATATACTATACTAATACCTTATATAAATTATAAGTAATAAGTCTCTAGATAACTAGCTTTTAAATAGGCTTATTTTATAATATAATCTTAGATAATAGCTTAAGTCTAGCTAAATATATTAGTAAAGTAATAATAAGATATAATAAATAATATACCTTATTACTTTTTATTTAATTAAGTTATTAAATAGCCTACTTTTTATATCTTTTTACTTCTATTAATACTATTTAATAACCTTATTATAATAATAATTACTTAAGTTATTATAAAGGTATTAATAATATATTATACTAGAATAGTAGAAAGTATATAATTTAATAAGTATATTATTAAAAAAGGTAGAAGTTATCTTAAGAAAAGGATATACTTACTAAATATAATACTAAATCTAATATATTTATTAGTTCTTATATATTTTATATTAATATAATATTATATATACCTTATATTAAAGATTTATTATAATTTCTTTATTAATAATATCTATATTAATTATATAGGTAATACTTTTATTTAAGGTCTTTAGCTAGACTAGGATATTATTACTATATATAACCTTAAAGGTATATATAATATTTAAGTAAATATTATTAATATAAGGTTAATAAGATATTATAAAGAATAAAGTAAGAAAGGTCTATAAATAGTTAATATTTTAATTATAATAAGAAAATAATATATAAATACCTTAAAATTATCTTTAATAGTAATAATAAAAATAGAATTACTATTCTTTTTAAAAAAACTGTGACAGACTGGCCCTAGAGGGGCTTCGGGGGCAACCAGCCCCGCAGCCGTCAGTGGCCTTACGGCGCACAACCCTCTTACCACTCGACTAGGCAAAAGGATTCGTAACAACAATACTGGCACGATTGTTATCTGGTTGCACCTATAAGGGTTCTCTTCCGCGCCAGCCACTGTGGAAGGCGCTAGGCCAGAGCCTAGCCCGTAACAAAAACTAATAATATTATCCTATTAAAATAAAGAGTTAATATAATATATATAATATATTATATATATCTTACCTAGAAAGATAATACTAATATAATATTCTTTTATTAAAAAAAAACTATATTATTAATAAAAAAAGTAAAGAAATCTATTAATAATATATTATAAATATTAATTAATAAGGTTAAATATATTATTTTATTAAATTATTATTATATTTTAGTAGTAAAAAGAAAGAAAATATTACTTTTAGGTAGAAAAAAGCGTATCTAGGTATAAATACTTACTAATCCCTTATTAGTCTATTATATGCTAATATAGTACACCCTACACTCGGATAAGGTATCCTCCCCAACCTCGTTTAATGTGTAGCCACTGGCGGTCTAGGCCCTAAAAGGCCCTGAAGCTACACAGATTACTGATACCTAAAAAAGCTACGACCAGCATCGCTAGCGCCATCTTTTCCACCCGCAAAACCCACAGCCCTCTCCAGTCTCCAGTCTCTATTCTCCATTCTCCATTCTCTCCATTCTATCGTCAAGGCCTTCATCATCACCTTTATCGACGTGCTTGATGGCTCTCTCCGGAACACTAAAAGCTCCATCTACCGCATCCATCATCCATCATCCATCTCCCACATTTCTCGGTTCGAGCGGCGCCATCGCTTCCGCCTCGTCCCCATCCCATATTCCAATGTCGTGTCGCACCACTCATTCGCGAGATCAGTTGCAACCCAACAAACGTCCTTGCACAAGCAGATCGGCACTTGCTCCTCTGACGGATGCATGACGGAATCGTCCTCTTTGCCCAAGCTGACCTTCTCTCCACTCGATATCATCGCTAGCGTTGTGATCCCTGGTCCCTGGTCCTGCCAGCACGATAGTCTCCGTCGTCGACGCCACAATAATAAATGACCATTGTGTCAATTTCATACGTCGTGGCTGAATCCCATCGCTCATCTCTGGGGTAATATCAATAAAAATAGCACATCTGTTTGCCACTCCGTATTTACTGATATACCATATAACGGCAGGAGGCTGGATACTAGCAGGATAATCTCCATTGCATAGCTACCACACGTCGACATGACAAAACGCCCGGTCTAGATTCCATTTCTACAGAGCATCCACACTCGAGGTCACCACCAGACCATCTGACTCTTCCTCGTCTTCCGGATTCCATCGCTTTGCACCGTCTCCGCTCTCCGAATCGGCGCCGAGCTCGTACCCTTGTCTCAAAGCCCACATCCGCCACTGCCGGGCTTCTATTCTATACTCGGGCATTTGCGCCCATCTACCTCTCTGCCCAAGATCATATTCCTCAGTAATCCTTCCCCAGAGAATATCGCCTGGCCCAACGGACCCTTGGCGGATGCGGTTATACCGGCTTACTCGTACATCACTGCATCCCGGTATGCATTTGTCCAAGATGCCTAATAACGCCCTCGTACTCATATAACCGCATGATTCTCCAACTTGGTGATTTTGCTCTGCGTGGTTTTTGCCTGGCTCCCTCTCATTGTGCCCAGTTTTTTTCTCAACGTCGCACTCCGCCGCCTCAGGCGCATGACAGCTAGCCCTGCCAAGGATCACCGCCTGCTCGCATGCCCGCCGTTTCACGCTGCAGTGTCATTTCTTCCAATGACGGGAGACAAAATGGCCACGAAACCCATCGCCCACTTGCGCCCACACGCAAGTGACCGCTAGTTGCAAATCAACCGCGAGGCAACCAACGGCCGTAGCCACAATGCCGCTCTCTTACTCGGGCGGCGGCCGAAACCTTGAGCGACATCTTGGTGTCGCCAATTGGTGTCGCCAATTGGCGTCGCTACCGATTCATTGGTGTCGCTAAAACTGGAAAATCCCTAGTCTCTCGACTACTTGTCCGTTGCGGTGCTCGCCGGCTTCTCGACGAGCCTATTATTTCCGCAAGAAAGAACTAGAGAGCTGTATAAACACTAACTAGAGTAACTAGAGAGCTGCAAAGACACTAACTAGAGAGCTCGCCGGACCCGCCGATGGGACATGCCGAGCTGCCTCCAAGACTCCAAAATCCAATTCCTCCTCACCCAGCAGGGATGAAAATACATGTATCAAGCTGAGGCATCCGAGTCTAGAGTATGTCACTCTTGACGCAAAACAGCGCATCGTGACTAGCATCTGGCTGCAGCGCGACCGCCACAGCAAGCCACCGCGGTGCAGGGATTGGCCCTGAATGAGGTCATAGACAGCGCCATTCTTAGAGTGGAAAGCTTGGCACCCCCTGCACTAGCCGCGGAGGCCTACACTTGAGCGAAGAGTCTGTAGCAGCGTCCACGTTGTAACATGAGCCAGTAAAAGTTTGTTGATGGTATCAACGTGGATTTGTAGGCTTTCTTTGTAGGTTAGTGAATGAAGTTGGTACTATAGTGCTGGCACTGACATTCGCGAGCTTCGCTAATGAAAACAAGGAAGAGATTAAAGAGCGAAAGAAAAAAGAAAGAAAAAAGCTCACGTTTGGCAGATAGTTTGCTTTTGACTTACAAATCAATGACGGAAACTACCCCGATCGCACTCCATTCCTACAATGATAGAGATGCGACAATTTCGCTTGCAATCTCACTTCCGACCAACAGGCAAACATCTGGCTGGGCCGTCCGTAACTGTCTCTAGGGTAGGTAACCTAGTTGACTTGGCCTTTTGAGGCTGAACGACAGCTCCGGACAACTCAGCCTTGTCTAACTCATGGCTAAACTGGCTCTAAAACAGGTTGGTTTATTTAAACAAGACGGATACCCATATATGGATGGAACGAAAAGTACTAGATCATCCCAAGTGCCCAAATGATGGAGATTCTGATTGTTGGCTGTGGCATCGCTGGTTCTCTGCATGCTACCGACGCACAGAAAAAGTCTATATAAATCACAATCCTGGAGTGGGCGTCCGAGCTTCGACCATACGGCCAGAACATTGATGTCCGCGCAAGCTCGGCTTGGAAGCTGCTGTTCGCGCCGCCACCACGGGCGAAGAAGGGGTGCAGCTCGTGACGTCGTCGTCGGCGTAGACGGCTCCCAGAGCCAGACGAGAAGACTCGTCTGGGGCGTCGAGCAGGAGCAGAAAGCAGTACACAGCCTCGGCGTGTACGGTGCCTTTTTCAGCATCCCACGGGAGGTGCACGACACAAAGTGGCGCAAATGGTTTCACACCACGCGCGGCAGGGCCATCATGCTCCGACCCGACGACCTCGGCGAGCGTTGCACCGTCTTCATGACCGTCATGAACGACACGGACGCGCGACTGCCTGACGCCGGAAAGGAGCACGACCATACGGAAGCGAGCAAGCCCTTGATGAGGGCTTACTTCTCGTGCGCGGCATGGCCGACGCCCAGGACCTTTACTACAACGCGCTGGTGCAGGTCAAGATGGACGCCTGGAGCACCGGCCGCGTGGTCCTCGCCTGGCGACGCAGGGTAAGAAGGCCAACCTGGGAAGTCGGCTCGGCAAGACGCAATCACTGGCGCTGAACTTAGGTACTGCGCATCGCCCTTGTCCGGCATGGGGGCAACGCTCGCCTTGACAGGCGCATGCAGCCTCGCACGCGCCCTGATGCGACACCAGGATGCGGTGGACGAGCGGTTTGCAGAGTACGAGGCGGCGATGCGTGCGGTGGCGACGAGGGCGCAGAAACTGGCGCCGGGTATGCCGCGCGTGATGCATCCGCAGGCGCGATGGGAGCTGGTGCTGCTGCATGGGTTGATGTTTATATTGCAAAGGTCCGCGAGTTTTTCTGTGATGGTCATGTTGTTTGGGCCACCGGCGGACAAGATTCCTTTCAAAGAACAGTGATTCTGGACAGTGACTTGCGATTGCTTTTACACAGGAGTATACTGTCGACAAACACAACTCAGTTCTAACATTATCAGACATCTCGAAACGGAGTAATGCGACTGGTAATCGGTTTTTACTCGAGTTGATGAAGTGATGCCTTCAAGTCAAACTCGACGCGAAAATACGACGGATGAAGTGGTAGAGCCCGTTCTCAAGAGAATGGGCCAACTGCTCATCTATAGAGACATGCAGCCAGATTGTGTCAATTACGTTCGGGATGTTTGGCAAACGTCGTGCATGCCATGGAGACCAACTGCGCTCAGGCCCAAGATTCCTGCAACCTCTCGGCCTCGATGTAACCACGGCCCTGGGCGTCGGTCGGACTATGCCGCCACTCCACATTCGGCTTGTTATAAGCCGCTCGATTCCCTGCCTTGCGTCGCATTTCCTTTCCTATATTTACTCGTGCTTATACTTCGTTATCCACAGCAACATGAAGCCTACAACTACGCTGCGCACGATCCTCAGCGCTCTATTGGCGTCGGCCGCCCTCGCGCGCTCGTGCGACGACGTCCTGCGGCCCGGCACCCCCGAGTCCGTCGGGATGCTGTCCAAGCCGCTGCGCTCCATGGTGGGCAACCTGACACGCTTCACCTCGGCGCGGGCCTGGGGCGCGCCGACGCACGGCCAGACGCTGCCCGTGGAGCCCGGCGGCAGCGTGCTCGTCGCGCGGCACGGGCGCATCGTCAGCCACTTTGCGTTTGGCAAGCGCAGTCTGTGGGCGTCCGTGGCCGGGTCCAACGGCACGCGGCTGCCCCCGGCCGCGCAGGAGGACGCCACCGTCGACACCGTGTACGACCTCGCCAGCCTCACCAAGCTCTTCACCACGGTCGCCGTGCTGCGCTGCTGGGACCGCGGCCTCGTCACGCTCAACGGCACCGTCGCCACCTGGCTGCCCGCGTTTGGCGTCGCCGGCAAGGAGCACGTCACGCTGCTGCAGCTGCTGACGCACACGAGCGGCTTCGACGCCGATCCTGCCGTCGGCCTGTGGACGCCGCGCTTTCCGACGTACCAGTCGCGCGTCGACAACATCCTGTCCACCGGGCTCATCAACGCCCCCGGCGCAGCGTACCTCTACTCGGACCTCAACTTCATGACGCTCGGGCTCGTCGTGGAAGCCGTCACGGGGCAGACGCTCGACGCCGCCATCAGCGAGTACACGGCCGCCATGGGCCTGACCGACACCTACTTCAACCGGGGCAACGTCGAAGGGGCCGCCTCGCCGCACTACGCCCGCGTCGCGGCGCAGGAGTTCCAGCAGGCGGTGAGCAGCGCGTACGAGCCGGCGCGGCCGCAGCCGGTGCGGGGCAGCGTGCACGACGAGAACGCGTGGTCGCTGGCGGGCGTGGGCGGGCACGCGGGGCTGTTCTCGACGGCGCTGGACACGGCGAGATTCGGGCAGATGATTCTCAACAACGGGACGTACGGCGGGGTGCGGGTGCTGAGCCGGGCGGCGGTCGGGCTCGTCTTCACCAACTGGAACGCGCGGTTCGGGCCCGGACAGGCGCACGGGGCCGGGTTCGAGCTTGATCAGGCGTACACGGCCGGGCCGATGGCGAATGGCGCGGCGGCGAGCCACACGGGCTTCACGGGCACGTCGCTCGTCGTGGACCGCGCGAGCGGCTGCGTCTGGGTGCACCTGGCCAACAGGGTGCATCCGTCGCGGGAATGGAGCAGCAACAACGTCGTGAGGCGGACGCTGGGCGCGTGGGTGGCGACGGCGCTGGGCCAGACCGTGCAGTTTCCGTAGAGGGGGGGCAGGCCGTGCGATGCATTGCAGAATTCCATATAGAGCATGATGAGCCATTTTTCTTGCATTTATGCGTCGGGTCTTCTTTGACAGGAAAGCCCGCAGCTTTGCAATATATTCATCCTAGCTAGAAAAAGCATTCAAGGCAGTAACAGCTCATATCCCTTGGCAGTTGTAAGCGGACGGGGTGCGGCGGTGCCGATCTTCCATGCAACCCGAGCGCAACGATGCAAACGGGCCGACGGGTTGTGCAGGTTCAACTGCCGAAGAGAGTCGTGGAAGGGTCGTTATGACTGCATTGTGAATATAATTGTTTGATGATCCTGGAAAAATCCATTAGTTACACTTCGTTCGGCCCCATCGACCGATTCGCGACGGCTGTAGCTGTCGGCGGAATGTCTGGCTTCGCAAGCCACCACACCGACGTCATTTATGTACTCCTGCCAACTGGGGACGAGACCCAACATAGGGTTACATTTCGGGGTCCGTTCCTGGGATCTGTCTGCTTTGGCCTGCGCAGAGCTGAAAAGCGCAGTGGAGCTGTAAGATTGAACTAGCGGACGTCGGTGACGACCCTGGGTTTACACGTTGAAGTGAAGTTGTACATATACGTCTCCGCGTCTTCTAAAACCCCCATGTCAGCCTGTTGAAAATCTCCTAACCGTATCAATACCCATCATCCATCGAACAGAGTGCAGCAAAAAAAAAAAAAAGATGCGTCTCACAGAAACCGCCGTGTCTCTCGGCCTCGCCCTCGCCACGCACGCCAAGCCCTGCCGTGGCGCCGCCTCTGATCTCGACATCCTCGCCGGCCAGCATGTCATCTACTCGTACCCGAGCTCGTCGGCGCCGCCCGCGCAGCTGCTGCAGCTGACGCAGGCGGGCCTCGTCGGCGGCGTGATCCTGTTTGGCGTCAACATTGACGCCAACACGGCCGCCGCCATGGAGACGCTGCGGCAGGCCTACGCCGCCTCGCCAGCGCCGGCGCTGCTGCAGAAGACGACGGGCGTCGCCGGCGCGCGGTTCCTCATCTCGACCGACCAGGAAGGCGGGCAGGTGCGGCGCATGAAGAAC